GGTGTCTTACAAATGGTATTTGCGCCTACAGCTATTGCCCTATGGTCATATGATCAAAATTCGGGCAGGGGGCGATAGTTTGTGGTGTCCTGGAGTCATGTGACCACCTTTGACAACTTTTCCAGCATGCACCCAACAAGCAAAATCAATGGGGAATTTGCTTAATGACTACATGACTCACTTATAGCAGTGATTCACTTAACAGCTGTGGCAAGAAAAGGTCATAAAATAGGCCACGGGTCGCTTACAACTGCCTTGCTTAACAACAGAAATTGTGGTTGTAAGTTGAGAACTACCTATCATTGCTAGACCTGTGTAAGGAATTCTCAGCTGAAATTGAATTTAAGTACTATGAGTGGTAAGAAGTTGAGGTGAGAGACTTGATTATGCAGGTGCCTTCTGCTGATTATTATTTCATACGCCTCCCCCAAATTGGGGGGGAAGAATTAAATCCCTTTGAGAATATGAATGAAGAAGTGGAAGGCACTGGACAATGATCCCTAAGACCTCTATTTTACAGAGAAAAGCCACCGGCAATGTTTTTCTCTTTTGGTGATCACCAGGCTAACAATATTCTCAATGCCTCTGGGGAGAAATTATGGTGCTACCTTCGTAATTAAAAAGCAACTCCTCAAATCCTAGGATGTGTTGCAGGAAATAACACTGCAGGTATATTTTCATCAGAACATGGCCAAGTGTTTTTGGTGTTCTACAAAAGTATCCACCACCTGCTCTCTTGCCTACATTCCCGAAGGACGCAGGCTTTGTTGCCTTAAGTAGAACAGCAGAAAGTTCAAGACATAAGTAGAACTGAGGTGCTTACATAATTAAAGGATTTTTTTAAAAAAACCTTCCTCTTGAGGGTTTGGATTGTTCAAATACTGTGCTTGAAGTGATTAAGTGTCTGAATAAGCTCTAGATTGCTCTCTCGCTCTCTCAAATGGAAATTGATTTGAGGGTACAGGATTGCTTTTTTGTTAGCAAAAAATCGAAAGAAAAACAAGGAGGTTTGTTTAAAAAAATATTTTTAGCAGACCCTAGAATATGACTACACGTCATACAAGTCATGGCTACATATACATGACTACTTTGCTCCAAATACAGGTAGTCCTCGTCGTACAACAGTTCATTTAGTGACCATTTAGAGTTTCAACCCTGATGCAGCCATCAATGAAATCGAGTTTGACACCCCTGATCTAGTAGTTAAGGCTAGAAAGGCTTGCATTCAAGTCCTACCTTTAGCCATGAAAACCAGCTGAGTCACTTTTAGCTATTTACTCTCTTTCAAATCAATCCTGGGTTGTTGTTATGGAGAAAATAGGCGGAGGTAGGTGTATTGAGTATGTTTTTTTTAACCTTGAATTATATATAAAAAGAATGAAGGTGGGATACAAACAAAGAAACAATCTGTTAGGGTTCCGGCAGTTACTCCAATTAAATCTTGAGCCTTGAACCACACTCCCAAAACTAAAGAGGATTTATTTGAAGGTAATATTCTACATCCGGCACTAATCTGGGCGTAGCCAACTCTGAAATACATAATTCACTGTCATCCTTGATCCTGCTTTTCCCTCCACCCCTCTGGGTGTATCATCCAACAAAAAACATCCATAGCCAAGAGTCATCAATCATGTTCTCCAATTAGATTTTTTCGAGGCAGAAGCTTCAGCCATCTAATCAGTCTTAGAAGAAAATATGAATGGAATGTACTTTCGATTTCACACTGTTGCCTGCTCTTTGAAACTCCCCCCTTTCTGTTGTCAACTATAAAACGTGTATACAAAATGTTTTATGAGTTGACACAAACAAACAAACAAATAAATAAAACAAGCAAATACCATATTACAGGTAATCCTTGACTTTCAGCCACAATTAAGCCCAAATTTTCTGTTGCTAAGCGAGACAGTGGTTAAGTGAATTTTGCCTCATTTTATGACCTTCTTTGCCACAGCTGTTAAGTGAACCACTGCAGTTTTTAAAGTTAGTAACATGGTTGTTAAGTGAATCTGGCTGCCCCTTTGACTTTTGTTTGTCAGAAGACTGCAAAAGGGGATCACATGACCCAGGAACATAGCAAAGGTCATAAATACGAACCAGTTGCCAAGCATCTGAATTTTAATACATGGCCATAGGGTTGCTGCAACAGCCATAAGTGTGAACAATGGTCATAAGTCACTTTTTGAACTAAATGAATGTTGTAAATGTTGTAGTCGAGAACTATCTGCCTCGACTTCTTATTTATTTATTTATTTATTTATTTATTTATTTATTTATTTAGTCAAAAGCTTACAATACAATAGAAATAAGAATAAACATAAGTTTAAATATAAGAAATAGGTACAAAGAAATGAGGACAATAGGACAGGGACGGTAGGCAAGATTGTGCACTTATGCATGCCCCTTACAGACCTCTTAGGAATGGGGTGAGGTCAACAGAGGTTAGTTTGAGGGCAAAGGAGTGGGGGTTTGAGCAGGTGACAACAGAATCAGGTAGTGAGTTCCAGACATTGACCACTCTGTTGGTGGAATCATACTTCCTGCAATCAAGTTTGGAGTGGTTTACATTAAGTAAACAATAGCCACTAATAATAGCAATAGCACTTAGACTTATATACCGCTCCATAATGCTTTACAGCACTCTCTGGGTGATTTACAATGTCAGCTATATTCCCCCCAACAACCCTCATTTTACCGACCTTGGAAGGATGGAAGGCTGAGTCAACTTTGAGCTGCGTTAGGAATGAATTCCAGGTTGTGGGCAGATTTTGCCTACAATACGGCATTCCAACCACTGTGCCACTTGGTTTCCTATGCAAGTTCATCACCATTCAGATTTATCAACATCACTGCTACTCCCTAACTTTGGCCCTGGGTCATAAGGGACATTTACATTTATCTAATTGCCCCAATCAAACAGTTCCAGTTACGAAATGGTAAGATTTCATCTTCAGAGCCACAGTTTCCCACCACCTCAAGGAACTATTTCCTTTTCTCTCATGCCTCTTCATCCAGCCCAAAGGTTTTGCTATACAGGTAGTCCTCAACTTACAACAGTTTGTTTACTAACCATTCAAAGTTACAACATCACTGAAAAAAAAATCACTTATGACCATTTTTCACACTGATTGGATTTGATTGCTTATTGTACCCTATGACTATTATTAACTGTTGTACCTGATGATTCTTGACTCTTGACGAATGTATCTTTTCTTTTATGTACACCGAGAGCATTTGCACCAAGACCAGTTCCTTGTGTGTCCAATCACACTTGGCCGATAAAGAATTCAAATTCTATTCTATTACGACTGTTGTAGCATCCCTGGTCATGTGATTGAAATTCAGCCCGTTGGCAACTGACCCTTACTGATGACCTTTGCAGTGTCTTGGGATCATGTGATCCCCTTTTATGACCTTCTGACTGGCAAAGTCAATGGGGAAGCCAACGGTGTCACTGACTTAACAACTGCAGCAGTTCACTTAACAGCTGGGGCAAGGAATGTCATAAAATGGTGCAAAACTCACTTAACAAATGTCTCGCTTGGCAACATAAATTTGGGGTTCAATTGTAGTGATTAAGTTGAGGACTACCTGTACTTGAAAGCTTGCACCCTAGTTTTAGGAAACAGAGTACTGAAGACCACTTACTGGGATGAAAGAGCAAGAAAAGAGAAGGCCTCAAAGCCTTCTCATTGGCCACCAAGGGAAATAGGATGTTTGAATAGACATTTAGTCAAATCCATCAGGACTCTTACTCTAAATTTAAGACATTTTAATTGGATTTTATACATTAATTACCTTGATATTCCCTTTGGTTTCCTGAATGAGTTTCCTATCTCTCATGCAAACACCGGGAGTTAACACCCACTTACCACTTTGCCTAGTTTATAGAAAAGCACTTTTAGCACAATATGTTGAGCAATTTAAAGAGAAACCTAAAAAGGGTTGATTTCTGGAAGCAAAGAATGGCATGTGGCTTTTTAAAATCAACTAATAAGAGACATATTGGATGTACTGCAGTTTTAAAAAATCTGGTCAAAATGTATCTTATATATATTACAGGAAGCAACAATAAAGAAGGAAAATTTCAGAGAGGAAATTGATGAAAATGTATGCCAACAAAGCATCTATACAAATTGAGACTTGTTGGTGAGTAAAGATAGAATTCTTTATAGGCCGAGTGTGACTGGACACACAAGGAATTTGTCTTGGTGCAAATGCTCTCAGTATACATAAAAGAAAAGATACAAGACATGCCATGGAGAAAGATGGATTTTGACACCACAGTGTGCTCACCTCTTTTTGTGTGAAAAATATGGAACATGTTGTGATACATTTCCACTTCATTAAAAAAAAAATGCCCTTGTTCAGGTCATAGACCAAAAGTGGGCAACTATGGCAACTTTATGACTTGTGGACTTCAACTCCCAGAATTCCTGAGCCAGCATGGAATTATGGGAGTTGAAGCCCACACATCGCAAAATTGCCACAATTGCCACCTCTACCATGGACTAGCAATAGCAATCACATTTAGACTTATATACTGCTTCACAGTGCTTTACAGCTTTCTCTGAGCAGTTTACAAAGTCAGTATTTTGCCTCCAACAAACTGGGCCCTCATTTTACTGACTTTGGAAGGATGGAAGGCTGAGTCAAACTTCAGCTGGTAAGAATCAAACTGCCAAACTGCTGGCAATTGGCAGTCGGCAGAATTAGCCTGCAATACTGCATTCTAATCATTGTGCCCCCACAGTGTTTAAATCTGGAGGCCAATCAGCAGAGGGAAAAGTGTTAAGGGACCTCTGGTTTTGTCTTATTTTTTTCCCCTGTTTCTACCTAAGCACATCTACTGCTATTCTATAAATTACTATAGAACTATCAACTACCCAAACAGTTTATAGCTGTTTGTCTATTGTTGAGACAATGGTAGAATAGCAATTTATTTCACTTTTGAGCAGAAAACAAAAACAAATATGAATCCAGTTCAGTGGCTTGCAACTTACCTGCTGATGTGTGCTTGAACTTTTCACTCTTCTTCTTCCTCCATTTCCATGGTTTGAAAAGTCTTCCTATATTGGCAAACTTGCTTCTCCTCCTTATGGGAGGGGTGTGTGTCCCTGGAACTAATGAGTCTGAGCGCATTGCAGCCAGTCTCTCCACTTCCTCAGCTGGGTTGTCACAAAAGAAAGAAAAAGAAAAAGAGAAGAAGGCCATCTTAGTAAAACAGATGGGCAATATTTATCCATGTTGAAGCCCCATTCGGAAAGTGGACCAAATAAGTGCTACCAAAAACACATTAATTTGCAGCATTTTGCAACAAATGGTCTCTAATCCAGGAAGAGGATCCCTGAGACATCAGATAGAACTTTCCCTTCTAGATTATGAAGGAACTTTAAGAAGATTTTTGAGGCAGTTTGTTTCCTGTTTATCTTTAAAAAATACATGGGAGGACTAGAAGAGATCTGGATGACACAACTTAGAGCTGAACTAGATAGAACTCAAGACATTGCCTGCCACTTCTATAACATGCATTGTCAAAGGATTATGCTGGTATTGCACAAGTCTGGGAATCCAGCTTCTTTGGAGGTGTTGAAAATGCAGTTTGTGTGTGCCCCTACAATGATACATTTCTTAATTCTTCCATTTCATTTAAGGAGGTTCTAGATATTGGAGAATGTAAAGAGTCTACAGTAGAGGTGTCAAACTTGTATCGTCATGGTGGGATCACATGATGTATCGTGACTTTTCCCCACCTAAACTGGGCGTGAGCGTGGCCAGCATGTGATGACTCCTGGTCACAAGCCGTGAGTTTGACAGCCCTGATTCGAAAGCTTCTGCAAGTTATTGCTCAATTTCTTAATTAAATGTTAAATGTTTGACAGTGACTTTGGTACATATATTATACACTATATCTCCTTTAACCCACCATCCTGGGCAATCTACCTTCCCTAAAAAGTTAACAAGCCTCAGATATGATTGAATTTTTTTTATTCAGAAATATCAGGCAATCAAAGAACATTATGGATATAGAGGTGGCTGAAGCTAAGTTTATTTCATCATTATGGATCTTTTTAGCAAGATTTACTGACATTCAAATCAATTGGAATATATCCTTTCAATGACTTTAAAGTGGTCTGTGGATATTTGAAAAAAAAAGGTGAGTTGCTTGTTTTATTAAATATCTTGCAATAAATACTCAAAGAAAATAGTGTTGTATTTGTAGATTATTTATGTAATGTGTAAATCACAGTATCAATTACTGACAAACCCCAGCAATTAAAATTAGAAATGATAGTAAAATATTACTGATTAAAACCAAATAAAAATCACACAAAATAATCTGCAATTATCATATCATCAAAATCATTAACACAAATTATTACATGAGAACAGTAAACAAAAAGTCAATGAAACATGCAAAATATACATAAAAAAATACATTAAAATACATGACTACAATAAAAACCGAAAGCAAATAAGCTATTGTGCAAGAAAGCTAAATAAGCTAAAGAAAAATAATTTTTGGGATTTTTCTTAAAACGTGACACAGAAAGGCAATTGACGAAAGGGAATTCAAAAGTGCTGGTATATTGCTTGTCTCAGATTGGCACTGAGGTAAACAGATGGTTAAAACTCCTCAGGAGTGTATGGGGAAAGATAAATAATTGTTAAAATGAATGTTCTTCAAGTTAGACATTATGTACTTCAAGGGATTCCTATGTCAATATATTTCAAGTGTTTTAAGCAGACTGGTAAATAATTTATAAAGTTTCTATGGGAAGAATAACCCCTATCAAAGAAAATGGTTTTAATTTCACTCATTTGCAGCTTCATTTGGGGACATATATTTAATTCTACTTTTTATGAAATTTAGAAAACTTAGATAAAATGTTTTTATTTGACTCCTCTGATGTGGTAGGGGTTTCATGCCTTTTTTAGTGAATGCTCAACTATATTTACAACACAAGAGGCAGGTTGGAAAATATTGAGAAATATAATGTTGATCCTTACTCATATCATAAGCTTATACTTTGGGCTAACCCTGGTTTGAAAAATCACAGGTAAAGTTTTTTGAAAGGAACTTCTGAGTGAATGAAGGTATCAATATTTTAAATCAGAATTAATCAATTTTAAACATGATCATTGTCAAGTATCAGTTTATATATGCCAGGTTTTACCCAACTATTAGTAGCAGGAGCAATTAGACAACCTTATAATGTCTGAGAAATAATCTTTTTTGAAGAAAAATTAGAAAAACACAAATAATCAATGATCATCACTGCTCTGTTCCAAGAACAAGCCCTATATATAGAAGCAATATTCAAAGTGATTTGTGCCTTTTTCTCTTTTCTGCTTGGCCCTCTTTTCTATAGAAACTAGAGAGCAGTTTTCAGCTGTTCCTTGTTTTTGCGTTTGTCAAATGTGCCAGTGCCCCATGTTGTTTCCCACTGGCTGTTGGAGAATTAATTCTCAAAATTCAGTTAGAATACTTTATGATTTCAGATTTTGGTCTAAATGTCTTAGTTTTACAAAGCTCTTGAAATATTACCAATAGCGAAAAACTTTTTGGATGATTATACCGGTTTTTCTATAGACTAGAATATTTTAAAGGTAGAAATCAGTCATTTGCAAGAATTTTGGAATGCAGAGTTGATATATCTTATGCTGACAAATCAGTAATAAGATTATTTGTGTCAAGCATTAGGAGATTCAGGCAGTTCAAATGAGTATAAAGATTTATTGCAAGCTTAAACTCTGTACAAGAACCTGGCCAACTAACAGTCAAGGGAAATAAGCAGGAGATAAGAAAGGCATTCAAGATGACCTGGACATAGATCTCTTGTGGGCATGCAGAGACTCATGACATGAGGCATTTTTTGACCCCTCACTTGGGCTCAGCCTGGTCATCTTCTACAATCTGATGAATTTAAATGCTTCTTCATACTAAACATATATTTAGGATATTTAAGATAAAGCTAATTCAGCAATATTTTTCCATGTTTATTGGACTCTCTAAAGAATGTTTAAAAAGGGATTGGTTGCCCACCTCTTTATGCAATGGAAAATAATGGGGAGAACACTCCATATATGATATACACTTGTCCTATTGTTTTGGTTCAACTTACAACCATCATTTAGTGACCATATGAAGTTACAACAGCACTGAAAAACTTATGACTGTTTTTCACAGCCTTTACATGGTCATATGATCAAAATTCGGATGCTTGCCAACTGGTTCATTTTTATGATCAGACGGTCGTAAGTCAAGGCTACCTATTTTGCAAAGCATACATTATGGTTTAGCAAACCATATAGCTGCAACCGTGTTCTATTCAATAAATACATTGAATAGAACACAGTTAAGTACATTGTAGCTAACATCCTATGTAAATCTCGCTTCCCCCCGCCTTCCACATCTACTTCTTTCTCTTCCAAATTCAGAGTATCACAACAAATTGTTTAAATTAACTGAATCAATGGTGATGCTTAAATCTTCAAGATGAAGCCTCTGCTATAAGAATGACAGGAAATATGGCCCATATAATTTAAATCGTTGACTTGCAAGGGTTAGGAGAATTGAAAGGCGGTAATTATCTCTCCTCTTATTCCATTTTATTTTTACTCCACATTTTGCTTAGATTTCTTGAAGTGTTGAAGAACACTTTACACTTATATGAATCATAAGTAACATATTTCAATAGGGCTAAATCTGGAACCAACCATATACTTAAAGGAAGGGCATTAAATAAAAAAGCATTAGGCCCCTTTTATACAATCTTCCTTGATATACTGAATAGAAGTGAACATGTTACAACCATTTTCCTAAGCAAGAAACTGAGAATTAAACAAAATTGCTCTAAAGCAGTTCAGAATGATGTTATATGGGTATCCATTCACCTAGTTCTATAATAAAACCCATCAAAGTATATCATGTCCATAACCCCACCTTGCTTGTACTCAGTTACTCAGCGGATGGCAATTATGGCAGCCATTATATTTTTTCTCTCTCAGTGGCTCAGCGGTTTCTTCTCCCACTCAGTTTTAAGGAGGCTACATTAATTGTGCAGCTACTGCCAAAGAAAGAGTGAACTCTAATAAGGAGAATCTGTTACTCAAAAAAAAAAAACCAAAACCCACCATTCTGAACAATTCACACCAGAGGTTTGATGTGAACAGCACAAAAGGGGTGTGTGGCTAGTATTTTTAATATTAAATCTCATTCAGAAATGTGAGACCACGTTGTTTGGGAAAACGTTCACCTCACAAGGCTGAAATGAACGCCAAGCATATTGGATTAGCTACTGCTGAGAAAGAGGCATTTGTCTTTTGAATAACTGCACATTTATAGTATTTCCCAATGCGAAACTTCCATAATATTTTTATCCCCACAATCTATAGAAAGATCAGTCATTGTAAAGATAATAAACGGATATAATTGGTATAGTCTATTAATCTACTAGCCAGCTTTGAATTTCCCTCCCATTGCCAAATCAGTGGGCAGTGCCAGGTTCTCAGGCTTTTTTGGAAGCCCAAGAGGGTGGCAATGGGTCTCACACTGCAAGGAATGGAAGCCATGACAGAAAAGCCTCTTCTCCTGGGCCCTGCCAGCTGCAGTTCCTTGGCTGATGGGATGGAGAGCAGGTCTCTTTCTGCCACAGTGAGTGGGGCAGGTCAATCCAGTTGGGGTGAGACAGGTTACCTGTACCCATGCGATAAAGGGCATGATAACCAAACCCTTGAATTGGAAGCAAATCAGCGACCAGTGCCATTCGCACAGCAGTGGTGTAGCATAGGCCACCCTAGGGGCCCCTAAGGCTATTCGCACTGCTGTATTTTGTGCCAGCTGTAGCTTCCAAATGCTCCTCGAGGGTAGCCCCACGACATAGACTGCAATAGTCCAAACGTAAGATGGACTAACCAGGGCGTGAGTGACTGAGTGCAGTGACAATCTAAGAAAGGGTGCAATCTGAAGTTGTGCAAATGCAGAAGGATTCAAGGCAAAGGGAGAATACTTCTTTCCTTAGAGCACAAATTTAAACTAATGAATTCTCTGCTGACAGATATCACCATCCATTTGGACAGTTTTAAAGGGGAGTTGGACAATTTGTGAAACAGAGGGCCATTGTCTCCGGATTACAAACAACAGATACCAAGTG